GAAGGTCATGCTCTGAACTTTCGAGTACTTTAGGCTTCTGCTTGGGAATCGGCAGGGAAGGATCCGGCCAAGCTCCCCTTGTCCGTATCTGGTGACAGGTTCTGCAATATTTTTCAAAGGGACGGGGGAAGAAGAGCAATGATAATACTTGATCAAAATACTCGTAAAGTCCAAGGCTGCTGCAGCCAGGTCAAACACAACCCTGCTGATTTTGACTGTCAATAACTTTCACCTACTCAGAGTCCAAAGTTCAAAGTTCTTGGATTCTTTCTCTAAAGCATCATTATTTTTGGTCTAGTCCCAATGCACAAGTGGTTGAAAGCGAGTGGATGATAAATAAGATGCTCCCCCAGTTATCAAACTGTCCCATCAAATGGGCTGAGACAGGACTGGAGTCTGGAAGGCATCAGATTCACTCATTGCCCTAGACAGAGGATAACACAGTCCTTGTGTCAGCCAATTATTTGATAACACTTTTTCCAAACAGGAAGGCCACCTGAAAATGCAGCTCAAACACCTTCCAGTAAAATCCCTCTGCACAGAGCACGGAAAGAGTGGGAACAAACTTGCTTTCAGATCCCCAAGCTTTGCTCGACACCCCATGATGCAATCTTGCATTTTACAAACCAACTTGCTTTACCATAAATACTTATGTAAAGCTGGCCACTAATGTCTTGGTGTGTTTTGGAAAGGGACCCATTCTCACACCCACCTTGAATTATTTGGTCTCCCTCACCCCTGATACTTGGTGACTTGTCTCTGTGTAGTTATCACATAACCACAAACTTGTTCGGTTACAAATGACTGTAAGAGACCCTAGGGCCCCTCACTCCTAACCCTATCCTAATCTTGAATTGTTCATAACAGGTTTCATAACCTTTGAGACAATTAATCACTCTGTGCTCTGGGATTCAAAGTGATGCATTCTCAAAGGCTTTCCTGTGTTCTCTCAGCAGAGCGTGTCAAGTAAGAGGATCTAATTGGAAATGTTCACTCCTCTTTTATTTCCAAATCTCTCAAAATCTAGGAAAATTAAAGCAGACTGAGGGGTGTTGCTGAGACATTTAATTACTCCAGTTTCTCCCAAGAATATAAACTTCCCTCAGCACATTAAATATATTCACTTCTCAACTCACAAAACTTTAACCACGTCTCTTTCTTAGTCAGCTGTTTGATATTTGAATCCATGATCTTGCAGAAAAAAATTGCATTTTATTTGAACAGACCTTCAGGCCTACTGGTCTATTTAATATTTAATAGCTCCCAAATCTAGTGATAATTATGAATATATTCATTATGACAGCAACTACCAAATCGTAATCCTGCTGCCATGGGAACTATATCCTGGGCACGACAAAAGCTGTCAAAGGCCAAGTATAGCCCCACTGTGGCGGGGAGGACGCACACTTGCAGACTCAGGGCTGTCTGCCCTTCCACCTAGGTGCCCCCAGCCTGCTCCCACACATGTGGGAGTACTGGGCAGTGAGTTCTTGTTGATATCGATTCTGCCAATCACTGAGGTATTCAACGAGAATTTACAGGTTCCTACCCAGTCTACAGCTATAGCAGGGTAGCAGTGAATAGTCACTCTACTCTCCGTGATGCAGATTCAGTGGGAGGGCATAATCACCAGGGGCTGTGGTGCCAGGCAGCAGCTAGAGTGAATGCCTTTTAGCAGGTCCCCATGCACAGCAAGGTCTCTCAGGGGGTCCAACCTTCTGGCATTGCACTATGAGGTTATCCATTCTCACAGCAATCCTGGGACACACATACACTACACATCACAGGTCAGACACCCCTGGAGATGCAGTGGAGTCACAAAACACGCAAGATCTGTCACCACCAAAACCCAAGGCTGCATTCACATTCCAAACTAACAAGAACCACTTGTGGCAATTTTGCTCTTACTGAGTGAGCACCCTCCTTTACTATTTCAAACTGAATCTGGTGGAGGGTGCTGTATGGGAGGGTGGTGAGGAAGTCTCTTTCTCAAAATCTCTGAGAGTTCATAGAGCCACAGTTGCAACCTCTCGGGCATTGACTCAGGGTCGATGAGCAATACAGGTGGCCCAGAGCCTGCGCTGACCCCTGACACCTCCTCAGATGGACACAACCTCTGAGCGTCATAACCCTTCAGAGGTCGTCTAGATAGACGCTACATTTTCTATGGAGAAACAGCAGCTTGTGGAGAGGGACAGGGGTCTCCAGCCTGGCAGGTGGCAGCTGAGAATCCCAGAGCCTGCGCTGACCCCTGACACCTCCTCAGATGGACACAGTGTTTTAAGCACTACCTCTGAGCGTCATAACCCTTCAGAGGTCGTCTAGATAGAAGCTACATTTTCTATGGAGAAACAACAGCTTGTGGAGAGGGACAGGGGTCTCCAGCCTGGCAGGTGGCAGCTGAGAACCAGTGTTCCAAATGTCATAATGAATGACATCACTCCTCTCCTGCCACATCCAGCTGCTTCCCTGATGCAAACCAAACACTTTCCTTCATCCTATGCAAGCCTCAAACCCAGCTCAGCTCAACTAGGAAGACATCACCTGGGGGGCAGGGGGCAACAGACTTCATGGCGTGAAATGCGCAAACTCTTCCTGAATCCCAGAGTCACTGCTTCTAGATGACACTCAGTGACAGGAATCCAAGACCACACACACTTTTGAAGCATAAGAAAATCCCACAGAACAGGCCAGCAACCTACATACATGGTATTTGCTTCCACACGAAGCCCAGTACATGTAGGCAACAGAAATGCTTGCCAAACGAAACAAGCTCTCGGG